CGGTAACCACATTAGTCTCATCAGGCTTATGCTCCAAGTGCTTGTAGCGTTATGTGCAAATCTCTAGATCTCTCAATCGCTGGCAACGGGTAATCTGTCGAGAGTATCGGAAACGTGCCTCATGGTAGGCCTTTTCTCTGGACTGTTATTCACACAACTGATTGCAATCTTAAGAACAGCCACAATCTCGTCTTCCTTATCTGCTTCAGGAGCCAAACATGGATCAAGAACATCACACAATGGTTTTTTCTCTTCAACGCATACTTGTATCCACCGAACTAGATCAATTTCCGATGTACCCACATCCAATACCGGAGACCTACCCGCTATCAATTCCAGTAAAATGACCCCATAAGAGTAGACATCCCACTTCTGAGACGGTTTTACCATCTTAAGAGTCTCGGGTGCCTGATAGTAGGAGCCAGACGAAGAGTGAGCTGTGAACTCCGAAGATACGCTCTTATGATGGTGTTGCTGCTTCTCTTCCGTTTGGATGATTCTGTTAGACTGTATTGTTGGGGAAGATCCTCCAGCAATGTTAGCCAACCGTGCTAGTCCAAAATCAGCGATCTTAGGTTCCATGTCCTGCCCTATGAGAATGTTGCTAGGCTTAAGATCTCCATGGACGTATTTCTTGGGACTAAACTCGTGCAGATAGACAAGCCCTGTAGCAATCCCTTTCGCTATCCTCAGCCGTTCAGACCATGACAAAGGAGCGACAGTCACCATCCCCGGCTTCCCTGCACACACACATATACTTAATGACTTCATACGATGTAATTGAAATGCTGCATTCGAAATGAGAAAAGGGTGACTCACCGTGGAGTGCGGTTGCAAGGTTACCATTGAGAACGTAGTCATAGATGAGAAGCTTCTCATCAACAGACCAATAATAAGCTCGAAGATTAGCAATGTTAGGATGTCTAAGTTTCCCTATGGCTTCAACTTCAGTCTGAAACTCCTTGAATCTCTGAGACCCTCCTTCCCCTAATCTCCGGACGGCTAGTGTGAGTCCATTCTCAAGAACCACTTTGTACACAATGCCGATTCCGCTCTTCCCGAGAACGAAAGCCGACGCCTTTAGCAGCTCCTCAAGGTTAAACGCCACCTGAGAGTCAAGGGCAACAATATCGCAATGCTCCACATTCTCAGATTGAGTTTCCGACTCGTCTTTCCGGAAACACAGACACTCTGCAGCTCTTTTCTTGGAATCTTTCTCAAACCCGAACCGGTTTTCGCTGCTACAAGCGCAGAACTTTGAGTAGCAGTAAGTGAAAAGCAAACCCACAAGGCAGATACCGAAAACATCGCAGAGAACAATGGCAATGACGGCACTTTTGCTCAAACCACTTGATTTCTGTTTGGTTTCAGAGTTACCATCGGAATCATCAGGCGGATTGTTGCTTGGGATGAAAGGGTAAGAAGCATTACGACCGAGTTCATTTCCTGGACAAAGGTCCTTCAATGGCGGTCCGCATAGCCCTGTGTTGCCTATAAACGCCGTTGGTCCTCTGTTCATCAGAGCACCGGTTTGAGGAATCGGACCGGAGAGATTATTGAAAGTGAGGTCAATGTAAACCTTCTCAGGGAGATCTCCTAAAGCAGGTGGGATAGAGTCGGTGAAGTGATTATGAGAGAAATCAGCAGTTCCTTGCAGATTAGAGAGGTTTCCGATGTCACTAGGGATCGAACCGTTGAATTGGTTGAATGCGAGGTCGAGTCTCTCCAGAGATGCAAAAGCTGAGCCAAAACCATTAGGCAAAGGACCAGAGAAGTTGTTCCGGCTTACATCGAGCGTTCTCAATCTGTTGCATTGTAGAATCGAAGGAGGTAACGAACCATTGAAGAGATTCTGCGACAAATCTAAGGTCTGAAGAAGCTTAAGCCTACCAATCTCGTCAGAAACGGACCCATCAAAGGAATTACCGTAAAGTACTAAACTTTGAAGTCCCTGAAGGTTGAAAAGCTGAATAGGCAACGACCCATAAAACCTATTGCTACGGAGATTCAAGTGACGGAGACTGGAGAGAAACCCTAGAGAAGAAGGGAGAGAACCGTAAAGACTTTTCCTTGGGATGCTTAGAGAGACCACCCTGAATTCTTTGCAAGTAACACCGTTCCACGAACAGGCGTCTAGGTCCGATGAGTTCCAATTGCTCAGGGAACCTGTAGGGTCATCGTGAACGCTTTGCTTAAAGGTCAAGAGCGCGAAGCCCTCGTCGTTTAAGGCAGTGACAGTCGCATAGTTGCAGAGAAGAGCAAAGAAGATGATCAGTGAGGCCAACATTTCAGATGAAAACTACTAAGAACAAAAAAAGACTAGTGTGAAAAGTGTTTTTGTACAAAGAAAGAGAGTGTGAGCGAGGAAGAAGAGGAGTGATAGTGATGGAGGTAAAGAGTAAAGTTGTGTTAAAAGAAGAAAAGATACTCTCCTTGAGGAAAAAGGAGCAAGAAAGAATACAAAAAAGGTGGAGAGAGAGCTCTGTTTTTTGGACCTTTAAAAAGCAAAGCATTGGGACAAGAGAATCAACTATTGAGAGAAAAGAAAAGCAATGGGCGATTTAATCCATACGCTAATTTGTCGCTAATCCCATATTTTTAACTAACAAGTTATATCTGTCATTCATTTCTAAGCTTTTTGACCAAAATCTCTTACTAATGTAAAAATGTGATTTAGTATAACTTTTGTGAAATAGTAACGTCCTTTTAAAATAGCTTTTGTCAGGATTATTCTGAAAAGTAATTTATTGGCGAAGTGTTTGATTGATCTGTCAAGTGTCAATGTAGGTAACATTTACAGTGTTTGTCCTTTTTCTATTCATTTTTCTTCTCGATTTTCCAATACATTGATTCTTTAATTACCGAGTTTTTTGTTTGTTTGTAGTAGTTCACAAAATACATGCTAATTACATTTTCCTAAACCATACTTCC